TATTCTTACGAAGGCAGTGCTTGAGGCATGGAAAGTTACTGGCATTATACTACTGCTATTTACAATCTTATTCAAATGAAGCTTGTATCTTAAGAAATTTACCACTGCCCGTTTGGGTATTGCTCAAATTCTTTTTCTTTTATTTTTCTTTTTTTTTTGTTGTTGTTTTTTTCTAAGGTTCCCCAGCATTTTAGGGAAGATTCTTTTCTCAGTACCGGTCTTTTCCAGTATTCGGTCTCACCCAGTCTATTGTGACCGGGATTTACTAAAGAGAAGAGTATCATATTTACCGACCCTGTCAATGCCGGTCTTTTAATTTTTTTTATTTTTTTTTTTGTAAAAATGGGTTGATCTTTGTAGATGAAAAAGGGTGTTGATATAAGATATATTTATTTTCGTATATAATGTATTTGTTTTCAATTAAGGTATGACCATCCTAACGAGCAATATCAGGAACTGAAAAATTGACAACATAGGTAAGATATATACCTCAAATGACACATGTATGTAAAATTTAAACAAACTTTACCGTACGAAAATCGAGTTATTGCAACTTTTCTGAATTTAATCTTGGCTGTTAGAAGGACCCTTTTTCAGAAATAAGGAACCTTTAAATAATCTACATTATCATCCTTATAAAATATGTTTTCTCATCAATCTTTGGTAAGAAACACAATGTAACATTCATCTATTAATCCACAAAAGCAAAATGATTGTTTCTACTCAAAATATATGAAATATGTGTAAAAATGTTACCCTACCCACCCATTTTAGCATCTGTTTGATCAATTTCCTGCTTAGAGAGCCTAATTAAAAAATCCCTAAAATTTGCTAAAATGAGTGCCAGTTTTTAAAGTTTCCCTAAATTTTTCAAAAGTAAATTGGTTGATCTTGTAAAATATCAAATACTTTTACCGTCTTATTTTGATTTTATTGCACTTTGAAAATGACAGGTACCATATTTGTCATTAAATTTGGCATTAATCAGCCAATAAATACCTATGTCAATTAAATAATCAAACACTTTTTTGTTCCCAAAAGGGACATAAGAGATACATGAATTATGTTCAAAGAAAGAATGAAAAGGAAAAAAAGTTGACCCTTCTGGAACTTGAACCCACGGCCCTAAGTTTTAATGTATTTTACTCTTCAAAGTGGAGGTAATGCATTAGGATGGTCAAGCCTTAATTGTTGTATACTAAGTATTTTTGTAGTTTTTATTTATTTGTTTTAATCAAAGATTATAAATCATGTAAATGTAAAAGCATATTAATTAAAACTTACATGATATAAAAATGTATTATATAACAAGATATGTTTGTAAAACATGTATGCCCCCTATCAGCAGCCAATAAGTCATGTGATAAGGTTATTATGCATGACTTCTGACCCAGTGATCAAACAATTAATAAGGGTTATAAAGTACCTACAAGGTCAATGTGACCTTGACCTTTGACCCCTTGACCCAAAACTCAATAGGGGTCATCTGCTGGTCATGACCAATCACCATGCCAAGTTTGAAGTTCTTTAGGCCTAAGGGTTCTCTTATTATTGATCGGAAACCGTTTTTAACATACAAGGTCAATGTGACCTTGACCTTTGACCCCAAAATCAATAGGGGTCATCTGCTGGTCATTGACCAATCATCACACAAAGTTTTGAAGTTCCTAGGCCTAAGCGTTTTTTAAGTTAATTTGATCGGAAACCGTTTTTACCTACAAGGTCAATGTGACCTTGACCTTTTGACCCCTTGACCCCAAAATCAATAGGTCATCTGCTGGTCATGACCAATCACCATAACCAAGTTTGAAGTTCCTAGGCATAAGGGTTCTTAAGTTATGTGATCGGAAAGCATTTTTACCGTACAAGGTCAATGTGACCTTGCCCTTTAACCCCTTAACCCCAAAATCAATAGGGGTCATCTGCTGGTCATGACCAATCACCATACCAAGTTTGAAGTTCCTAGGCCTAAGGGTTCTTTTAGTTATTTGATCGGGAAACCGTTTTTACCTAAAGAGGTCAATGTGGACTTTGACCTTTGACCCCTAGACCCCAAAATCAATAGGGGTCATCCTACTGATCATGGACCAATCACCATCTCAAGTTTTGAAGTCCCTAGGCCTAAGGGTTCTTTCCATTATTGATCGGGAAACCGTTTTTAACCTACAAGGTCAATGTGACCTTGACCTTTGACCCCTTTAACGCCAAAATCAATAGGGGTCATCTGATTGGTCATTGAACCAATCACCATAACCAAGTTTGAAGTTCCTAGGCCTAAGGTTCTTTTGTTATTGATCAGAAACCGTTTTTAATTAAAAAGGTCAATGTGACCTTGACCTTTGACCCCTTGACCCCAAAATCTATACAGATCATCTACTAATCATGACCAATCACCATACCAAGTTTGAAGTTCCTAGGCCTTAAGGTTCTTTAGTTATTGATCGGAAACCGTTTTTACCTACAAGGTCAATGTGACCTTGACCTTTGACCCCTTGACCCCAAAATCAATAGGGGTCATCTACTGATCATGACCAATCACCATACCAAGTTTGAAGTTCCTAGGCCTAAGGGTTCTTTTGTTTTTGATCAGAAACCGTTTTTAATTAAAAGGTCAATGTGACCTTGACCTTTGACCCTTGACCCCAAAATCTATACGGGTCATCTACTGATCATGACCAATCACCATACCAAGTTTGAAGTTCCTAGGCCTTAAGGTTCTTTAAATATTGATCGGAAACCGTTTTTACCTACAAGGTCAATGTGACCTTGACCTTTGACCCCTTGACCCCAAAATCAATAGGGGTCATCTACTGATCATGACCCAATCACCATACCAAGTTTGATGTTCCTAAGCCTTAAGGTTCTTTAGGTATTGATCGGAAACCGTTTTACCTACAAGGTCAATGTGACCTTGACCTTTGACCCCTTGACCCCAAATCAATAGGGGTCATCTACTGATCATGACCAATCACCATACCAAGTTTGAAGTTCCTAGGCCTGAAGGTTCTTTAGTTATTGATCAGAAACCGTTTTTGCTTACAAGGTCAATGTGACCTTGACCTTTGACCCCTTGACCCCAAAATCAATAGGGGTCATCTACTGGTCATGACCAATCACCATACCAAGTTTGAAAATCCTAGGCCTTAAGGTTCTTAAGTTATTGATCGGAAACCGTTTTTGCATTCAAAGGTCAATGTGACCTTTGACCTTTGACCCCTTGACCCCAAAAATCAATAGGGGTCATCAACTGGTCATGACTAATCACCATATCAAGTTTGAAGTTCCTAGGCCTTAAGGTTCTTTAGTTATTGATCAAAACCGTTTTTTTGCTTTTCAAGGTCAATGTGACCTTGACCTTTGACCCCTTGACTCCAAAATCAATAGGGGTCATCTACTGGTCATGACCAATCACCATACCAAGTTTGAAGTTCCTAGGCCTTAAGGTTCTTTAGTTATTGATCGGAAACCGTTTTTGCTTTCAAGGTCAATGTGACCTTGACCTTTGACCCCTTGACCCCAAAATCAATAGGGGTCATCTACTGGTCATGACCCAATCACCATACCAAGTTTGAAGTTCCTAGGCCTTAAGGTTCTTTAGTTATTGATCGGAAACCGTTTTGCTTTCAAGGTCAATGTGACCTTGACCTTTGACCCCTTGACCCCAAAATCAATAAGGGTCATCTACTGGTCATGACCAATCACCATACCAAGTTTGAATTTCCTATGCCTAAGGGTTCTTTAGTTATCACTCGGAAACCATTTGGTCTACGGACCGACGGACCGACGGACCGACAAGTGCAAAGCAATATACCCCCTTTTTTTTCAAAATGGGGGCATAATAATGTTACTTAACCACCCTTCCTTTTTCAATTATCATGACTTTTTGTCTTTTTTAAGGTAAATAAAGAATTTGAAATGTGTATGATTTTGATGTTGTGTTGTTATAATTGTCAATGAAATTGTTGTAAAATGATTGACGATATATCATGCCGATTTTACTAAAAATATGCAACAGTCATCTTTGTCAAATTATAAATATAATTGCTAGTTTTTTTATAATTTCATAAATGTTACATGTGATTATTAATGCCAACTGATATAAACAATCATTTATAATATGTTTATGTAACGTATGATCAACACCACACTTGTTTATTGTCCCTTATTATGTATTCGCTAGTGGCGAAGTCCCTATCATTAAATATCTTAAGATATCAGTTCACACTTAGTAAAAATATGACACTGATTATATGACTATGTTGATCATGTTAACATAACTGTTTAAATATACAATAATTGTAATATCTATTCTAATATGTTTTTCCTACATCTTTTATGAATAATGTTTTCTTTCTCTTTTTGTGTTTCAGGGCTATTTTAATACTGATTACGTTTACTTCTATTTTTTTATCAAAATTGTAAAATAAATTTTAAAAACGCATTGTAATATTGACCGACGATTTCTATTCTAAAATTAATTGGAAAAAGTCAGTAAATTATTGTAAATCTTTCAATAAATTATATTGATTTTTCTTAAACCATTTATTTTACTTTATTATTGTTTCCAAATTTTCACTGTTGAATAATTCAGAACATCTAATTTGTAACTTAGAATTAGTCCTCAGAGCCTTTACTAGTAGTGCATATTATATTAAGACCTTTTTATTTAATTATCTATAATTATATTTATCTTATATAAATAAAATGAAACATGTTATTGTTATTTATAGAATTGTATGTTTATATATAATAATAAATAAATTTGAGAGTTGATCAGTGTGTTAATTAATTGTGGTAACCAAACTAAGTGACAAACATTCATTTTTTTTGCGGAAAATCTCATTAATTTGTTACGATATCAAATAAAATGATACTATTCGCAGGTCTATAGTAAATTCCGGTTAAAACAGATCGGGACAGACAGGGAATTTCCGGAAGGAGACCGGCGAATAGTAAACCCCGCATTTTTAGTGTATACTAATACGTTTGTACGTTCTTACCCTCCAGAATCAGAAGAATTCTCTGAAGTTAACCCTTGTTTGCCAAGCTCTTTTTTCCACTTCTTTCTTTCCGTATCAGACATAACAACAGAAATGTTTATTTCCAGTTTCGAATAAAACCCACATTTCGACAGTATATCTTGCTCTTGAAAGAATGTACTTATTGCATATGATAATCCATTCTTTGAATCTTGTTGAACTGGTTTAGTATATTCAGCCAATTTGTCAAAATCATCTAAACTTGATACTGAAAGTTCTAGTTTTATGTCATGATTTTTGTCTTTTGTTATGCTTACAACTTTACAAAATTTAATATTTTCAACAATATCTAGACGTTTTGCAAACAAGGGAAGGACCGTCTTAATACACTCATAAATCTTCTCACGTTGCCAAGGCTTAATTTTTACTTTTGGCGTTGTTGACAGTCCAACAAGCAGAGAAAACTCTGAAAAGAAAAATGGAAAAAAAATATATACACTTTTTAACAAGACAGACATGATGGCCCGTACAATATACTGCTCACGGTAAAAACCATATATAACTCATGACAAAATTCAATGAACCAAGAAATGTCGATTAGAAGTACAACAAGACATGGTATTGATCATTCCTGTAAAGTTTTGATGAAATTGCACCCGTAGTTTTCGAGGTGTAGTCCAGACTACCGTCTTTTAAGCTGGCAACACAAATAATCACCTCCAGTACGAAAACTTCCGCCCTGACTGTAGGTGGAATCCGCATGTAGTAAAGCGGATTCCGCCTTAAACTGAATACAGTTGAATATTGCTTCTTAGGTGGACCTTAAGCAGAATATGGTACGAAATATTTAAATGAGCTAAGGTGGAATCCGCCTATCTAGACGGATTCCGCCTTAGCTCATTTAAATATTCCGCTTAAGGTCTGGCTATGTCGCCGGATTTCGCCTACCTTAGGCGGACTCCGCCGACTCTAGGCAGAAAAAAATCATAGGCGGAAAAATTTCCGCCTTGACACAAATAAAAAATTATGCCTTATTTTTCTTAAGCGGAAAAAATTCCTGCTTACTGGATTTTAGTTTTAAAAAATCCGCCTAGCAATTTTGGAACAAATTTTTTAGAAAGTTTTTGAAATCATAAGAATTAACTTTATGCCAAGAATCATTTAATAACAAGCAATTATCATAGTATTGCAAGCAATCCATAAGTCCCCTACCGGTTAGAACCCCAGCAACATTCTGATGGGCCATTGGCCATTCAATTTTACCAGTGAATGAATGACATGAATGAACTTAAATCATTTGAGTTCTAAATTTGTCTATATCACAGTAATGTGTTAAGTTTCCCTGCCTAGTAAGGAAATTATATTTATACAACCTTGTCATATTATTTTAAAGTAAATCCTTTAAGGAATGAAGAAGTTCCAGTAAATATTACCATTTTATCGAAAAAAATCTAATTTAAAGGGGGGCATAATTCTGGAAATAGTCTTGCTAGAGTGTTTAACCTTCTCAAAAATGTTGAGTGATAATAAGAAACATATATATGAAGTTTGAAGTAAATACATTAGGAAATAAAGAAGTTATTTAAAAAATACAACATCTTTTTATAAAAAATCTAAGTTCAAGGGAGGAAATACTGATAATTTTTGTGCTAGAGTTGTAAACCTTGTCACATATGATGTGGTTGATGACCAAAAACTTACATGTAAAGTTTGAAGTAAACACCTTAAGAAAAAAAAAGAACTTATAGTGAAAAAGCTGAAAAATTTAATTAAGAAATCTTGAAATTCAGGCTTTTGTTGCCATAGCAACCAGAATTTTCAACATAGGAAGAAAAAAAAGACGTGCATAATCTCCATACTGCCATCTATCCATATATCAAGTTTCATAAAAATATTTTCGGTACTTTTGTAGTTATCACTGGATCCAATTTATGTGTTTAATTTGCCCTAATTTAAGACTATTTGTTGCCATAGCAACTAGAATTTTCATCATAGGAATAAAAGAAAAAGACATGCATAATCTCCATACTGGAGATCCAGTTTTGTGGACGGACGGACTGACAGACAGACGGACGGACAGACAGTCTATCCTGTCACAAACTCTTTCTCCTATATTGCAATTAATTGTCGTGTAGTAAGGTATAACATTTTAATAAACTATTATATACTAGAATTAATTTATTCATTCATTTCAACTTATTTCTAGATTTACATTCATCTTAACAAACATTATTCTATTACACAAATACAAATAATAATAAATGTCTACCAAGTTGAGAAAATATAAAACAAAACATTTATTTAAGATAACTGTTTTTTTCTTTTCTTTCAAATAAGTATCCATATTGAAATATGATAAATCATGTCCTTCACAGATGCAGTCTTTCAGAATGGCTTCACTGTGGCACACAACTATCCATATATTTTAAAGCCTGTTGTACACACTGAAAAAAATATTTGTATAATAATTAATTTTTTATGTTTTGTATGGATATGATTGGTATTATTAGCATGTTATAAACTAATTAAAAAGATTAATATTTGAAAGCACATGCATACTTAATTATTATTTTTTAGGCAATAGTAAAATTTTATTTTTTGGCAATCTTGCCAGTTTAATAATTATTTATAAACATTAAAATTGTTCTTGCTGCAATAGTTTTCAATTTTGTTAAATATTGCTATAAATAATGTCAACAATAAAGATCTATATCTAGCAAAGCAATTGTTTATAATTGTTTAAACAATACACTTGAAAATTATTTGCATTCCTACTGGTTTTGACTGCTGCATCAGATGATCATGAATATTTTTATCAGAACTTTTGCTTCAATTGTATGACAATTTAACTAGTGAAAGTATTACATGCATTTAAATATTTTACAAACCTTTAAGATAAAATTAATATTGTAATTTAAGTAAATCTTTAGTATACAAAAATTATATACTATACAATCATTTTGTTTAAATGGAAATATATAATTAATACATTAAAAGTTGTTTAATTATTTAATACATTAAAAGTTGTTTAATTAAGAGTCAAAATTGTTCAAATCAATGGTTATTATTTATCTAATTATTTTTATCAGTTTTGAGTTATATAACCTTATTGAATAACAAAACTAACCATCAATTATTTCTGTTATCAACTCATTTTTCTTCTTCTTCATCATCATCATGATAATATGAAACTTTCTATGGTACAGGTGTGGCATTGTAAGTTCCCCTGTAGATAAAAAAAATCCATTTTTAATACATATATTTATTATAAATTGAGTAAATTCAAAATGCTTATAAAAGTTTCAAGTACTGTTAATATAAACCCATAATTTACTGAAAGATCCCAAGAATGTAAATGTTTATTAATGAAAAATCATGACCAGGAATGTAATTTACTGGTACATAATGTAAAGAAACGGGCAGATTTGAAAATTCCCACTCAATAACACTAAGTGAAAAAGATTTACACAAGCACATATGTAAAATTTATGAAGAAAAATAAAAACTAAAATTAAAAGTGTTCATTGGCAAGGTGAATTTGAAAAGACCTTTGTATGAAAAGAGTGTAAATAACTTACCATTATTCCATTGAACAATAGTAAATTTCCATTTCCATCTGAATGAAGAACTCATTTAATGTCCTACTATAATTTTATTAAAGTTGACATTGATTAAGTTGTTTCATCTAAATGGCACTTTAGTCACATGTTTAACTCTACTTCTAAGCATCTTGATAAATTATAAGCACTGCGGTCCAAATGAACTTCCTGAGTAATATTTGAATTTTCTGAGATCAGATCCTGATGTCAGATTTGTTCACGATATTAGATTACAAGTTGTAAACCACACTTATCTCACACTTTCATTTATATTAGATAGGTGAGTTTGACACTGAGTATTCATGTAAACAGCAGAGAGAAAGTAATTAGTTGCACTTGACCAACCAATCACTCTGACCAATTACAAATGTTTATGGCATGTATAGTATGTTACCAACAGTCTACAATTAATACTCATGGGAGACCATGCTATCAATAACTTCTGCACAAGATAGTTAATGTTTAATTAAAAGGAGGGATATACTTGAGCAAATGAATTAAAAATTAGACATAAATAAACAAGAGGGCCATGATGGCCCTGAGTCGCTCACCAGAAACAACTGTTTTTCAGTGATTTTTAAATAGTCCAGGCCAACTCAAACTTGCCTTTCTAGTTGTAAGGTTTCCCGACACTGATTTTTTTTTTTTGTTTTTTTTTTTTTTTCTTTATAGTAAAAATGATAGGAACCAAGTTTGGGTCAATATTTATTTGAGATAACATAGGTATACTAGTCAACTTAACCAGAAAGTTAACATTTCAGGTTAATTATCTTACTCTCTAATAGAAATGGGAAAAATTGTAACTTTAACTACATAGAGGAAACCGGCAAAAGGTTGTTTTGATGAAATGTATTCAGTGAACATGAAAACAACTTTTCATACATTGTATGAAACAGTGCAAAGTTACTTTCAACAAGTGATAACCAAGTTTGCAAAATGTGATTCTGAATAGAAATAATTAAAACTGATGTTAAAATAGCACAAAAAATAAAAAATGACAAATTACAAAAAGACAAGCAAGAAATACTTCTAAAGTTGCCATGAGTTCACTTAAACTTAAGTTTTGTTCCTTAATGTAAAATGTAAGTTGCAAAAAGTTAAACATATTGATCAGGCTATTCTATACATTATTATTATATTCTGATATAATACAACTGATACTGTAAATGAGTCTCAGTAAAAAACAATCACCTATCTGTTACACAGTGACAATATCGTATGCACATGAAACATCAGGTTCAACAGTGTGTCACAATATTTATTGAAATGTGCTTTCTCCAAGTTAGTAAGGTACCAGAATCAAATGTAATAATTCTTTAAGCCTTATTTCATTTCCTGGGGAAAATTCTCTAGAGTGACCTACAAATGAACTTGCAATGATGCAATGCCCACAAAAGCAGGTGAATGACCTCAAGATCTCTGAAAAGCAAACAGGTCATGACATTAAGACATTCAATCTTTTTTATGCATAACATGTACATACATGTCAATTCAGGGGGGAGAATTTACTTCAAAAAGAGGGAGATTTTTTATTTGACAATATACATAGTAGGAAATTTTGAAATGAAAGAGAGGGAGATGTTTTTATTTTTTTAAACACCCCTTAATAAAGTTCTAAGAAAAATAGTTACAAATTTGATAGGAGAAAGAGGTTGTCTCCCGCTCAAATTGGGAGAGTTCACATGTATGCATGTACACATATATAGAAACATTCCAACATGAGTTATTTTCCTTTCATTATTAAACTATAGTTTGAAGAAATGCCATGGCCTGGGGCATAACAGCTATGGTTGCTCCTAATAGGGGCCAATCAAATTAATATGAGCAAACTTGATAAAATACTACATAAGAATGCTACAGACAAAGT